GCATGCTGTACATGACGCAGCATCTCGTACAATATTACAGCTGCATGCTGTACATGACGCAGCATCTCGTACAATATTACAGCTGCATGCTGTACATGACGCTGCATGCTGCACATGACGCTGCATGCTGCACATGACGCTGCATGCTGTACATGACGCTGCATGCTGCACATGACGCTGCATGCTGCACATGACGCTGCATGCTGCACATGACGCAGCATGTCTCAATTTCAGCGCTGCGTTCAAGAGATAAGGAGTCGCTCTCAACTCTCACCATTAGTCACTGTTATTTTTCTAAGAGCTTTTATATAAAAATAATATTATTATTATGTAATAATTATAATATTTAATTGTAAAATTTTTATTTTATTTAATATTTTATATTGATTGTTTTTCAAACAGCTTATTTTATATTCTATTTTTATAGCTAATTTTTCACCATATAATTTCCGTAGCACTTATTTTCTCTTATTATATACTCTCAGTGTCTTTATTTCCGCAGATCTTATTTTATCTTATTATATACTCTTATTATCAATATTCCCTCAGCTCTTCATTTTATTTCATTATATACTCTTATTATCTTTATTCTCTCAGCTGTTCAAAGGCTACCAGTGGAGCTGGGCTGACGTAGACTGCATCAAGTCAGACTACTATTACCTCTGCGAGAGAGAGAGTGAGTTGCATGGTGAAGCTTATTACACACTCAGAGCAATATGAGAGACTGTGTCCAAATGAAGACGCACATTTTTACCTTGTGCGTCTTCATTTGGAATTAAATTCTTAATTTGGAAACTACTTCATTTCATCTTGAAGTAGTTTGGCCTGACAATTGAGCAAGAAGTGCGTCAATACTTAGACAATACCACAAATTTAATTTTTTAGTATGAATAATAACAAAAATCACCATAAAAAATAACAGTAAAGATAGTAGGAGTAAAGTTATTAGTAATGATAATATAGCGATGGCAACTCTTATAAGGCCATAACACTTTCAAATAGTGTTCAATAGTGTTCAATAGTGTTCAATAGTGTTCAATAGTGTTCAATAGTGTTCAATAGTGCTCATTAGCCACTGTTAGTCAGTCGCCTATTCTTAACCGCTCGGCCAACTTGCAAACTTTGAACAAAATTTCAACAACACGCCGTGGGTTTCGAACCCGTAAATTGTCTCTCCTGCACTTGTTGATCCTAACTCGGCCTCCCAAATCGCATATTCGAAAATTGAAGAATATATAACATATCATGATACTAAATATATTGCAACATATGAAACACAACATGATATAACAGCCAAATAATGATATAGAATACAATGGGATATTGGAGCTAGAGTTATAAAAAGATTTATAAGCTGGGAAAGATGTACTGTATAAAGTATCAGAATATTTAAGATCATACAGAATTTAGAACATATCAGCATATCAAAGCGAAGGTAGAATAGAGGAAATATCAAGAGTTTATAGCGGTTGCATTCAGTATTCTGCGTATCAGGGTTATGAGTTATATTTTCGGCCAATATTTTTCATTAACAATATAATAATGCTTTGATTTTCTCATGACTCAGTACTCCCAGCTTCCCTGAACTGAAGAGCCATCGCACTGCTGTAACTCCATCAACTCATTAGCCTCTGGCATCAAGACTGCACCAGCCATCAAATTATTAGCCTCTGGCATCAAGACTGCACCAGCCATCAAATTATTAGCCTCTGGCATCAAAACTGCACCAGCCATCAAATTATTAGCCTCTGACATCAAGACTGCACCAGCCATCAAATTATTAGCCTCTGACATCAAGACTGCACCAGCCATCAAATTATTCGCCCCTTACGTCATCAATAAATAACACAAGTACCAAATCTATTCGCAGTGTGCCCAATGAAGTTCCAAGACTCCTATCTTATTATTTCAGACAATGGTTCTTCTCATCTCAAATGTGTTAATTAGCTTTTTGCCAAGCTACTGAAGTTCGTCGAATTTGTCATTCAATATTGATGAATCTTAGATGCATCGATCTATTTTGTCTCTCATATTATCTACGCCTTCACAAGCTATAACCATTCGCAAGTTCGAGATTGAAATGCTTTAGTTCCTCCTAGAAATGTTTCTTTGACAGTTCAATGAAAACATAAAATGTCGGTAGACTAAATAATTTGTCCATGACATTTCCTCGCTCCGACTCGCGTTTCCGTTTCAGATGAAATGAGAACATTAGATAAAAACATGATCTATAATGTTTGATATACACGCATAAATGAATATTAAGTCTGAGCAATACTATCATATTCATGAATTTTTTGCTGAACAATATAAAAAAACTGGAACTTAAAACTAGATTTATTAGTGACGGTTTGAAAAAGACTTTCTTTTATTAATTTGCTTCATTGAAAGAATTATCAGAAATGCTTGATAGATAATTTCATGAAGAGATTCTTAACTTTCATGTATCGTCCATACCAAACAACACTGGATTAATGATCAAGTTGTCATTGTATGCGGTCACGATCAATAATAATCAAATTATCATTGTATGCGGTCACGATCAATAATGATCAAATTATCATTGTATGCGGTCACGATCAATAATGATCAAATTATCATTGTATGCGGTCACGATCAATAATGATCAAATTATCATTGTATGTGGTAACGATCATTAATGGTCAAGTTATCATTGTATGCGCTTACGATCATTAATGGTCAAGTTATCATTGTATGTGGTCACGATCATTAATGATCAAATTGTCATTGTATGCGGTCAAGATCATTAATGATCAAGTTATCGTTGTATGCGGTCACGATCATTACTACAGCTGTTTCATTTCATCAAAACCTGCACTTTGCAACTTACGTCATCCAAGTTTGTCATCTTGAATGACGCGCGCGATGCAGCACTCAATTATTTGAAGGATCATGTTGTTCAAATAATGACACACTTTCTTACCCACAACGGTCATAGCACCGATACGCCGCTTGTTGGGCCAAGCTTGAACAGGGACAAGGGGTGCTTCGTTCTTTGGACAAAGTCTCGCTCATTTGCCTGAGTGAGGCCTCCTGTTTTGGGTGCGCGATACAGAGTTTGTGGTCAAATATTTATTTCAAGCTTTGTGTTATGCTAAACTGGATTTAGTTTTAAAATAATTTAAAAATGTAGAATTAAGCCCAAAAGTTATCAATTTATTGCTCTATAGCAAAATAAAATTGAAAACGATCTCTAAAATAACATTAATTCATTCGCCGCCTTCCGTATTGATTTCCGTCACTGCAGAACTTACGCCTCGCATGAATGTCAAGCGTCTGCGTTTTCTCATCTTTATTTAACGTACTGCAATGGTTTCTGAAAACAGATCAACTAAAATAAATATACCAAGAAATTATCATTGTATGCGCTTACGATCATTAATGATCAAGTTATCATTGTATGCGGTCACGATCATTAATGATCAAGTTATCATTGTTTTCGGCCACGATCATTACTACAGCTGTTTCATTTCATCAAAACCTGAACTTTGCAACTTACGTCATCCAAGCTTGCCATCTTGAATGTCTTGAATGACGCGCGCGATGCAGCACTCAATTATTTAAAGGATCATGTTATCTAAATAATGACACACTTTCTTACCCACAACACGAGCAGACAGCGGTCATAGCACCGGTACGCCCTTTTATTGGGCCAAGCTTGAACAGGGACAAGGGGTGCTTCGTTTTTTTGACAAAGTCTCGCTCATTTGCCTGAGTGAGGCCTCCTGTTTTGGGCGTGAAGGCGATATAGAGTTTGGGGCTATATATTTATTTGAAGCTTTGTGTTATGCTAAACTGGATTTAGTATTAAAATAATTTTAAAGTGTTGAATTAAGCCCAAAAGTTATCAATTTATTGCTCTATGGCAAAATAAAATTGAAAACGATCTCTAAAACAGTATTAATTCATCGCCGCCTTCCGAATTGATTTCCGTCACTACAGAATTTACGCGTCGCATGAATGTCAAGCGTCTGCGTTTTCTCATCTTTATTTAACGTACTGCAATGGTTTCTGAAAACAGATCAACTAAAATAAATATACCAAGAAATATTAACAAATTCATATGGCTAATCAATTTTCTAATAGAAATATTCAAAGATAAATAAGTAAAATTCAAGATCAAGCAGCGCGGGCACCTGTCGTAGGCTATAAACAATTCAAATGAACTACAGTCCTCGCAGGCCTACTTCTTCGTGGGAAGAATTCGAGTAGTTATTACTGAACACTAATTATCAAAAGTGCGGCTGTAAAGTTAATAAGTCACATGTACGCCTAACTTTAGTTAAGGATAAAAACACAGTTTAGATTTTTGTTTTATTTACATTTCTTTATTTTAACATTGAACAATTTGCAAAGGAAATGTCTTACTAATTCTTATTGCTCCAGAAATACATACAAACTCTACACATTGAAGAGGTAAAGCTTCGGTGCGCAAATATCACTCCTGAAAATTTTTACCATAACACAAAAAAAAACAAATTCTACAATTTTGATTAGCACAAATTTTCAATAATCTATCATTCAAATAAAGCCCGGTGATCTATATGATGTTTCAGCGAAATTATTTTCTCATTAATCCTACTACAAAAGATGGCCGTGCTGTGAAATATCCTTTGTGTTCGGCTGGTCTAGTGAATTGGGCAAGCATGGAACAAGCAAGAGGATAAATGGAAATTAGGAGTCTTGTGCGAACATTTTTTTCGTAATTAAGCTTAGTTATTAGCCTAACAATATATAATTAAAACAAAGAAATAATTGTGTCAAAAGTCATTAATTATGAGATTTCCATATTATTAATTCGAGGTAAACTTAGAATAAAAGTTGGAAGTGAAGTAATGAGGTCAAAGATTGTTCTGTATGAGCCTATTCATATTAACAGTAATTACAGGAACGATCACTTATTCTATAAGATAACCTAAACAATAGATAACAAACACGACATCACTAGCGTAGTGAAGATAGTGAAGGTTTTCACAGTGAGTATACGAAGATCACATTAAAATGTAGACGCTTTATCATTAATACTTTATTTCGCTTTATTTAGTTCAGCATTGCGTGCATTTAAGAGGGGCGGTGATATCCGTAGAGTTTTTGCTCAGAGAGATACTCAAATGCTGGTTGTAAAACCCGTGTAGAATTTTTACAATATTTCACATCATGAAATAAATGATTTCCAACACTCAATTTCCCTCGAATGAAGAAGAAACATTTTACCATATTCGTTTTGGAGTAATTCAAGAATTAGATTCGTTCAGCTTCTTAACTTTTATCCAGCATTTCTCGTTATTTAATCAGTTTACCACATTCCTCGTTTAAATATACGAATAAAAATTTAATGAGTAGGTCAGATTTCACACTTAGATGCGAACGCTACGTGAAGTGAGAAGACTAGTCAAAGAAAATATTCAGCAAACCATCATTAATTACAAGACGTAGTTATTCAATCTCAATTGGAAACAGATTTTTATTACGCATGATGTGATAGCAGAGGCGTACAAAATCTTAAACAAATTTTTGCACAATTCCCTTACAATTTGAACAAATACATTGCAAACGTTACAATTGTGAGACGTCGCCTTCACGTGATCCAAAAAGAATACTACATTCTTTCTTGAAGAAAAACAGTGAAAATTTATATACATTCATGATGTAGTTCATTACAGATGATGGTAATGGCACAACAATGCTTTATAATTTAGTAAGGGTTTCGTTATTTGTTGTAATATAATTGCTTAATAATTAAAATAAGTCCAATTATGAATAGTTCGGAGCTTAACAGTGGTTAATTTCCATCCTGCATATTAATTGATTGTTTACTTGGGGACCGGAAAAATTGTCGTCAATAACATCTTTTAGGTTCATTGTTCAGCAGTGAGAGGATAACTGATATTACATCAAGTTGATTTAAAATATACATATTCTTATCTCTTATAATTGGATAGTCCAGGCCAGTAAGTCCCCCGAGGTTCAAACGATGCAACCAAATGCCGAACTCTCACTTTTGAATTAAAAAAGTTTGCACTTTTTTATACATTTTTCTCTTAATATTATTTCATTATTAGCCACAATTTCATTATCGCTTCTTCTCCTCCCCCGCCTCCTTCCTTCCGTCCTTCCATCTCTTCCATCTTTGGCCACCAGACTTCCACCACTCAATGGCAGCATTCATTTTTTTTCATTTTCGATAATCTACATTAATCAATTTTCACTTCATTGTATTTATTAAGCAAATTTATCTCATCTTCAGATCCAATCACAGATTTTTCGTTGCCGTCACGAAGCCTTCCAGCCTACTTTTCTTCTCTACTCGCTTATTTCCTTCCTACTTTCTTCAAACATTTTCCTTTGCTCATCATTTCCAATTGCTTACTTAATTATTCATTCTTCTGTTTCAATCCTCTTAGCTTTTTGTTGTCTTATTATCATTGATTTCTTCTTTATTCCAAAATTCTCGCTGCCATTTTTTCTCTTCTTGGTTCAATAATTTATTTGTCTTTCTAAATCAAGTTTGTTTCACTATCCTTTCATTATCACTTTTCCTCGTGGTAGCAAGGCATATTCGGATCATCATTATCATTTGAAATCGTCCACAACTGCACGCCACTTTCCTAACTTTCTCCCCTAACTTTCTTCACCGCGATACCGGAACTTTTTGAACACGTAACTTATGTAAGTGATCCATACATCAATAATTGGGTCACGATGTCACCATATTCGTAACAAGTTTCTATTTTGTTATGATGGAATATCTTACAGATAAAGTTCTTTATTATTTGTTATTGAAACTTAAAGAGTTTCAGCTCAGTGTCGAATAGAGCTGAACACTTGTGATGCTAATTTTTGTATATGGGTGAAAATGTATCTTTCTCAAAATTACAAACAGTCTGCATTGACATTTTGCTTAGCTTGAGCCTTTATAAAGATGAATAAAGTACATTGAACTAATTTTTGTTTTTGTATAAAACATTCACTCAGTTTTGTTAGACGGATATGAATAATTATATCATTTGTACGATATAGAGCGCAACCTTGCCAAAATTTTCAAAGCAAAGAAAACAATAAAGAAATTCATCATATCTTTGTTTCGTTATAGGGGCTGGTGTTGTAAACAAGAAAGAGGCTAGTGTCACTGAAGCGTTTTCTAGGAAGATTTGATGAATCTATAGAGCTATAGATGAATCATCAATATATAGAGATCTATATATTGATGATGAATCTATTTCTTTGTTTTTAAATTCACATGAGATTGCTTTAACAATTCACTAACAGGGTTTTCTCAAACGATTTTTAATGCACACTTCAAAAAATCGAACAGTCAAAAATATTTTTGTTTTGCAGTTATATTCTCAAGGAAAACTTTTCCTCAAAATGTTAAGCTTTCCAAACTACATCAAACAACTTTAAATAAAAAATTTGTTCAGCGAGTCGCACAGCTGACGTAAAAGATCCGATATTTTGGGTCAATTGTTCACTTTTCAGTCGAAATTATTTTGTAGAATCATTTAAGATATTGAATTTGTTGAAACTCCGCCTGTAAGTTTCTATAGATATCCGGCCGTTCTTTCATCACAGATGTCCATCGATGTCCGTAGATTTCCGTCAATATTCTTCGTAATGACAGAAGAATCACCCTCCTCCCCACCCCCCTCCACACGTTTCAGCTTTTATTTTCAATCACAAATACCGTAATTACT